ACAGAGAACACCGAAAGCACGACATTCACGACACCGGAGACGACCACAAGAAACAACATTTTGAAGCAATTAATGTCTCTCAACGAAAGGCCTAATGTTCGCCGCAAATGGAATGCCAACCAAATGACAACCACTTTGAGACCGACCACAACCTACTCGCCCACCACAACCACTACAGAAGCCCCGACAACAACTCAAAGGCCGACACAGAGACCAACGACAGAGAGAACCACAACTCAGCGACGAGTGGTTCCGCAAAGAAGTACAACACAAAGAAATATTCGCCGACCCTTCACAACCACCACCACTACCACCACTAGTCCGGCGCCCACAACAACCACAAGACAATGGGAGACGACGACAAACACTCCGTTCGAGACGACAGAAGCGGACTTCGAGTTGATTTCCATTGAAAATACAACGAAAAATAATTTCGACAGAAATGCACTGAAATTAGTAAAACCCAAGAATAGGACCGAAAACAGAGGCCTCGAGAAAGAGGCGGTCGTTCTTAAGCCCCGGCCGCCCAGCGCTCCGCAAATCCCCGGCAACTTCGGCGCCGGATTCTTGCCATCGGGAAAGGCATTCAATGCGGCGCATAACGTGCCCGGAAGTGCTGGCATTGATTACCCCACGTATGCGAGGGTCCCGGTCACCACATTTGACTGCAAGGAGCAGATGTACCCCGGATTCTACGCGGACATGGAGGCCGGGTGTCAGGTGTACCACAGCTGTAACGGCAATCTGAGGGGAAGTAAGCACACGTTCCTGTGTCCCAACGGCACCATTTTCAGCCAGGAGTACCTGATTTGCGACTGGTGGTACAACGTCCAGTGCGCAGACTCGCCCCTCTACTACCCCCTCAATAAGGAGGCCTTCTCGTCGCCCACCGTTCCGGCCGTCAAACCCAACGCCACCAAAATCAAGATGAATACCAATAAGAAGAATAAGCCGAAGACTACGACCACCGAGTTTGTGATCCGCACCATCACATCAACTGATTTGCCATAAAGAGTCCATCGTTTAAAAAATCATATGAAAACCTAATTATAATTACAGTATTATTCATGTATTTAATCGGTTTTGTGTGCGATTTTGCGAAAGGCTTTCGCAGTGTTTCTAATATATTAAGGATTTATTTCTTTTAAAATATTTTAATTAAGAGTTAATTTTAATTAATAGAGAAATGGATCCCATTTTTTTTGATCCAATCAATGGTTTTCATCGATTTCACATAAATTTTCATTAAATTTCATTAAAACATTAAATTTAAACGAAAAAATAAAAATGTGTTTTTAATTAACGTATCAAATGTGGTATAAATACAAACAAAATACTCGTCCATCGAGTGGTGATTAGCGACCGTTGGGTTCAGACAGCGATGGCGAAGATCTGGACAATGGAGTGAAGGCTCTTATTCTCCCACCGGATGGTCGAGTGGCCGTCCGTTGCGTTATCCCAGAAGCAAGAGGTGGCCGTCTGAAGACCGGCGCCATTCTTCTGGATTATAGCGCACGTCACTGATTGGCAAATGAGATAATGGTTACGATATGCTGTGGACACAGAGAGACATGCGGAGGAATGGCGGACACCAACCGATATATTTGAAGGATTTGTTGGATTTAATCAATTGCTGTAAGACCTGCTC